AGTTAGTACAATAGTACTATAGTTTAGTTGTGTCGTATATATATATATATATATATATATATATAAAATGTGTCGTTCTATGCACAGTATATGGTTATTGATTCATTTCAATAGCAGATCATTTCGAAAGCACATATCTACTGTGTGTGTATGATCTAGTCCATGCGTACAAGGCATCCATAGCTGAGACTGTTTGCCCATTAGCGAAACATGATCGGCAGCAAGCTGCATCCTACGTCTATTTATATCCGCATGCAAATAACGTATTACCGGCCTTATATGCACGAAGCACCCCAGTCTATAGGTTTATCCTAATCGATGCAGCTCACCGTGTTTCATGAATCCGGGTGCGCCTGTCCGAATGCAGGTCTATGACCATCATTGGTATGTGTGCACTGATACACCTCATGTACAGAGTTAGTTTAAACCGCCCATTCATACGCTGCAGGGTATATTCACAACGCTGGAGGGATTGAGGGTAGCTTATTTCAGCGGCACGCATGACTCTTCGGCTTACCAGGTATGCTAGTTTCCGGTTTATACTCACTGCCTGGCCAATCAAGTGTTTGTTATTTTATCCGTACTGCCAATGACAGTTAGTTCTTGTACACTTATAGGGATCGGTAACTACTTATATATATATATATTATATAACACGGTGTTCATGAAGGCATTGGTTATTGACCACCTCTCACTTCGCGTGGAATAGAGTCTACCACACTCGCTTGATGAGCAACGGACGTGTTATGTGGAGAAGGACGTCACAGCTCTGGTCAGCAAGAGCAAAGAGACCGGCTACAACGGAGTGGATCTACTCCTGACAGCGGATTGGCCCAAACACGTGTACAGGTACACACAAGAGGCGCAGATCAATACGAAAGGTGAGCTGTTTACTGTGTAATGTCGCGTATCTATTATTGCTTAAGCCAAAACACGGCTGTATTCAAGTGCATACTCGCAGTACTCCTTATAAAGTATGATGAAATTTGGAGCGAGAATTGGTTTTTAATCGGAAATCGAACTACAAAATCAAGAGTTCCGAAACCACAACCCAAACGTTTGACGTTTATACACATCCTTTTAGTAAACTCCTTGAAACCCATGCGCACGACAGATGGGGAGGACAAGGCGGTCCAGATCATCTCAGACGTTGCGAAAGACTTGAAACCTCGGTACCACTTTGTGGGCATGCAGGGCATTGCGTACGAACGCGCCCCCTATGCCAATTTTGTCCCGCGCACACCCTTCCCCGTGACCCGATTTGTGGGTCTGGCCAAATATGGAAATAAGGTACGACGGATCTCCATCAGAGCTGTTGTAGGGGTTTGAGGGGATAAATATGTATATATATATAAATATATATATATATGCATATATATATATAAATATGC